GTAGATTTACTTTGATGGTCTTTTTTTTTTTTTTTAATAAATGTAATTATTTGATATGTCTCATTGCTCATGGGGGGGAGATGGTAATTGTTTTGAGGGATACAGAGAACGTCTTCACATTATTCAATAATTATTGTAAAGGATATACCTTGATATTGGAAGGTGAGAAGGTATTCGACTTGTGCATATATTTGTTCGATCCAAATTCCATTTGATCATTGAATTATGGCAAACGTTTAGTGCAGGTGTGGATTGAAAGGAATTTGGTCTGGACGAACCACTCCAAACAAATATTTGTGCTAGAGCAGGGGTAGGCAACCTTCAGCACTCCAGATGTTTTGACTACATCTCCCATAATGCTCTTACATCCATAATGCTGGCAAAGCATTAACATGTGGGGTGCTGAAGGTTGCCTATACCTGTGCTAGAGTATAAATAATCAGGAAATACTTGTTTACTGAAATTGTCGATTCATAGAGTAGTAGAGATTGTACAACTGGATACAGTTGAAAATTTCAAGAAATCCCAGGCTACACGCTGCAGTGTTGAGCAGGAGACCAATCTAAACCAGCACATTTAAAAAGGGGAATGGACAGATTAGATAAGCCAGCTTGCTTTTATGTTGTTCTACAAAACTAATTAAATGGAGTGTGTCATGATTGAAACCACATGGAATTTCGTCTTAACATTGTGTTAGTAGTTTTTCTAGAAGCCTCTTAGTAAAATCTTTGGCATAAACTCTGATGATTTGACTGTCAAGGGAGAGCTGAAAAGAACACCCATTGCCATTCCTCCTCTCTCAAGCATAGCACCCTTTGCTATGGAAACTCCTTCACCGACACTGCCAAGGAGTACAGATGCTGGCAACGAAGCCAACGTGTCTCCCTCACTGAATAGGTTTGCCCTGCATGGGGACCGGGGGCAGGTGCTATACGGAGGGTGATGCCCTCAAACCTTAGACGATGGTGGCGTTGGAACAGACGTCAGGTGAGGCTATCTTAATATTTTACATTGAGTACATTATGTATCTATGTGATTTATTCGTTGTATGTTTGGCGATTTCAGGTAAGTGGATTTTCCTTAATAGGTTTGATATAGGCCAGAAGTAGACTTTTTAGTATTTATGGGTAGTGTCCTGTTTAAGGTACATTTCAATAACTTGTTCTCAAACTCGATGCACAGCCTTACTTGTGTAAAAGTGGAATGTAACTTTGCAGATACACTCCAGCTCACACTGGCAGATGATCAGTCTTATGCAAGCACTCACATGACCTCCATTCCAACTAATGCAACCACAGACAACTGTTTTTTAGGAACTTACTGGCAGTCAGCCTCTCACAGCTATTGCAGAGAGAACGTGATGAAATCGGTGCAGGTGCCCTATTTACAGAGTTATTCACTAAAAAGAGAATTCAAAATGAATTTCCAATAAGGTCAAAATTGCTGCATTGGAAACATTCTTTAAATCCGTTATGCGCTCAGTTCGTCTGCTCTGGCCTTAACATAAGTAAGTAATCCTGTTATAAACTATCCCTTCAAAGCCCAGTGCTGGCCTCATTGCTTTGCCAGGTTTAATGGATATACAGCAACTAATGTAAAATTCACAGAAGAATGCATTGATGGGTCTGTTATATTGTTTTTCTATTATATATGGAGACCTCCACTGATCAATAGCTGAAGAGCTTGCTTCTGTAGTTGAGCTGATTGTATTTATTTTTTTGCTTCGGCACATACACGGATCAGTCAGAACATTAAAACCATTGAGCAGTGAAGTGAATAACATTGATTATATTGTTACAATGGCACCTGCCAAGGGGTGGGATATATTAGGCAGCAAGTGAACAGTCAGTACTTGAATTTCATGTGTTGAAATCAGGAAAAATGGGCAGCGAGGATATCGGAGTGACATTGACAAGGACCTAAAATATGATGGCTAGATGACTGGGTAAGTCTTGTGGGATGTTTCTTGTGTGCAGCGGTTAGTACCTACCACAATGGTGCAAGGAAGGACAATTGATGAACCTGTGCCAGGGTCATGGACACCCAACGCTCATTAATGTACGTGGGGAGTGAAGGATAGAATGCTCAGATCTCATGGAAGACCTACTGTAGCTCAAATTGCTGAAAAACTAAAAAGGTGTCAGAACACACAGTGCATCGCAGTTTGCTGCCTATGGGACTGTGTAGCCGCAGACTGGTCAGGGTGTCCACGATGATACCCTGCCCATTGTAGAAAAAGCCATCAATGGAAACATAAGCATCAGAACTGGACCATGGAGCAATGAAAGAAGTATCCAACAAATGTATAGTTTAAATTCTACAAATTAAAGTGGAGCGCATGCACGTAATCAATCACCAATACACTCATACTAATTGTCCGATAAATCTCATGACCCTCCCAAAAAGGAAAATATAAACAATAGTAAAGTGTTGCTTTAAAATGTGATTTATAAAAAAATGATATATATATATATATATATATATATATAGAGAGAGAGAGAGAGAGATATGTAAAGCACTTCTGTATCTTTAAGGGTGGTAAACTACCCTCTTCTATAGGTTTCCTTTATGGCTTATAAAAAAGGAATAGGTGCAAAAAACAATTATGCAGAATGTAGATAAAGTTAAAATAACACATACTGCGCCTGAATACACCTGACTCTGGGTGATGCAGCCTAGATGTCAATTAAGGGTGACCACAAACCCCCTGGTAAAACACAGAACCTACAAATAATAATTTAAAATAAAACCTACAGGAATCCTCTTCATCCAAGACGCGTTTCTCCAAAGACTTCCTAAGTCACTGCTTCTGTTTTCAAAAGTCCCCTCCATTGTGTGCAAGTGTGTCCTCCAATCAAATCACCCATCATTCGCAAGAGAGGGCAAAGTCCTGGCAATTGTCAAGTGTGTTCATGCTGGAAATGGCATATCGGGAGATGCCATTACATCACTTCTGGTTGGAATCGGCCATCTTAAATCATATATTTGCTACATTTCTCCATATTTCTATTAGAAAATACATGGATACAAATGGGGAATAATTCATATGAATATACAAAATGTCTGTAACATAAAGCTTTTAGGGTTCTCAAAGTGATCTACCACACGTATTAAAAAGTTAGAAATCAAATTTATTTTTAAACTTGCTCTATAGCAAAAAAAAATTTCAAACAGGATACAGTATTGCATTTCTCTTTAAAATATGACAGACTGTTTCTCATATTTATTTTTAATGTTTCTAACGTTCCTAGATCCGTAGATGCAGGGGACATGTGGTTCTTCCCACATATATTATATTGCATCGTATAATTAGATAAACTACACTAAACCTTTCGATTTAATTTAAAAAGTGACTATTTCTGGTTATATAAAACTCTGTGATTTTATTTACTTCAAGTTTGGGACACCTAAGTTAGTAAATAAAGGTTTTTAGGTAGGATTATATTCAATGCAAGATCTTGATTTTGTGGCTGTTGGAATTAAAAAGCTTCATGTTCTCCCCGCAGCCTCCCTTCTTCCTTCCTGTGGTGACGGGGGGAGGACTGCCAACCCTGATGGTCCGGTGTTGAGTAGTGATGAATAGGCCCTTCATTAGTGGGAGGTAGGACCTGGGAGGTAGGACCTAGGAGGCAGTTCCTCCCGCGAGCATGCTGGTCAGAGTGTTGCTACGGCAATGCTCCAACACAGCATTCTGTTCACGGGAGAAGTGAAGACTGCCTGCAGTAAGAGGACCTTGCAGGCGGTCTTCACTTCTCCCACATGCAGAATGCTGTGTTGGAGCATTGCCGTGGCAACACTCCGACCAGCATGCTCGCGGGAGGAACTGCCTCCCAGGTCCTACTTCTTACAAACGCAGGGCCTTTGGGCCGTTGAGTAAATCTTTTATCTCCCCACCGGCCCAGAGAGGGCCCAAATCAAGTGAGCAGGGACAGCTCTTCTGTCGGCCCTAGCACATGGGGCTAACCCCTCTCCCACTTGTGCAGCCCCATCGGAGAGACGGTATCATGTCAGAGGGCCTCGCACTCTCAGGCAAGACCCACACCGGGGCAGCCCCCTCTCAAGCCCACGGATCCATACGGGACTCCCCAATACTCACCATCCTAGAGCACCAGGAGACTCAACAACAGAAAGGGGCAGACTCATAGCCCAACATTCTTCTCCCTCCTCATAATGTCAGCCCCAGCACCAGCATAAATCAAAGGTGACCAGGGGAAGTCCCACCAAAAGAGCCCGCAAACCTACTCAGGCCTCTCAGTGTTGCCGACCTGCCGAGTAAGCTGCTTTGTTCACTCATGCACACAAAAATAAAGAATTAAAAATAAAAAAAATAAAAAACAAATGACATCCAAGACAGATGTTCCTTTTTGGATTTGAGGCAACATAGACCAGAGAAGAAAACCTTGGTATAAGTAGTTATCACATATTCTTTATCCAACCTACAAAATTAGGAGACAGACTACTCTAGTTTGCAAAGGTTTGGGTCCTAAATATTCAAGACTCCTGTGTTATAAAGACCATTACAGAAGGCTATCAGTCAAGTTTCTCCAAGGAGGTGTTTTCATTCCAATCTTCCAACAGACAAGGGGAAATTAGAGTCAGTGAAAGACTCCATTTCCTCCCAGCTACATCAACAAGTAATTATTCCGGTTCCATAGGAATAAAAATTCAAGAGGCCCTACTCTGTTATTTTCTTGGCAGTTCTTTCCAAATAAAGCATGGGTGTCCAACCTTTTGGCTTCCTTGGGTTGCATTGAGCGCAGAGGAATTGCCTTCTGCCACACATAAAATCTATAGCTTTGGTGGGCATTAGAGACGCTAATTTCCATATCCCCATATTTGTAGCTCACCAGAAATATGAAGTTCACCATTGGTACAGCATATTACCATACAATACCATTTGGACTCAACACGACACAGCAGATATTCTCAAAGATTCTTGTCACACTGATAGCATTCCGCAGACTCCAGGGAATAAGCATTTATCACTACCTGGATGATATCTTGATATTGGGTCAGAGATGGGAACTTCTGAAAAATCACATGACCACTTCAATCATGCGGATGAATTATCAATCCAAAAAAGAGTCAACTGCTTCTTATACAACAGATTCTTGGGAGCAATGTTGAACACAAAAGCTGCAATCGCCCATCTATCTCAGGATATCTGTATCAAAACTATGATAAAGATCTGCTCACCACAGAAGTTTATAACAGCCAAACTATATATGTGTTTGTTTGGATCAAAGCCATCTACAACAGGCCTGTTTCGCTGGGCACAATGGAATCTCCGCTTTCCTCAAATATAGTCTTAATAAAGACAGAAAACCTCATTTAAAAAAACCGAACCATGTTAAAGACCCTTGAAAGTAGTGATTAAAGGACACTAACTTTCTGAAAGTATTTCCCCTGGGACAGATATGTTGGAATATCATAACTATGAATGCAAGCCTCAGGAGATGGGACACTCATTTGCAGTCCAGAAATGCCCAAGGTCTTTGGCCTCCTTAAAATATGGAAACATCTTTAAATATATTGAAAATGAAGGCAGTGCTGTGTCTCCCCATCATTTTCAGAATTATATCAACAACCACTGGGTTCAGATTTAAGTGGACAATACCATTGTAGTGTCGTACCTCAATCACCAAAGGGGAAAGAATATCTGCAAACTAACAAAGACGACTCAACAATTCATTATACGGGATCAAGTTACCATATTTTTTCCATGTATAAGACGACTCCTTTTTTTTGAGTCCAAAATTAAGAAATACATATTTTAAGTATCAAATAGAACAACTTTGATATTTTAAAGGTGACTTCTGAGGAGAACAACACACTTCTGATTCTCATGCCTCCCCTGTGTTACGGTACTCTGTCAAGGTAATGGCTCTATAGTGCATGCTGGGAGACTATAGGTCCCACAATGCAGCAGGTGGTGTGAGGGCTTGCTGGGACATCACAGTAGTGTTCCCTGATCCCCGTTTCATCATAAATATAAATCAGAAAACAAGACCTACCTGAGGTGGAACAAACCTTAATATGGCTGCTCTTTTTATGGTGGGGCATGTCTCTAGAGCTCCGTTGGTGGTAAGTACTAGTGTATGCTGCTGCTCCCACGCATATAGGGACCTAAAAAAAATGTTAGAAAAAAAACAAAAAATACGGTAATCTGTAAGGGTAAGGTAAAGGTAATTTATCTTCCAGTGATCCAAAATGTCAAAGCAGATTTTTTTTGTACATTAGGAGGCCTTTGACAACAAGACTTTGATCTCATTGTCAAGCTGGGGTTGTGGGTGGGGGTTGTGGAGGGTGGCGGTAGCCGCCAGCGGTGGACGTCATAGCCAAAGCTCCCAATTGGCAAGTAACCTGAAATACTCACAAACGTATCATTCAAAAGAGGAAGGGACAAATGCAATATCACTTTCCTTGGGAGTTCCAGAGGTGTGTTACAAGGATTATGAAGAAAGGTTTCTAGGAATCGGTAATTAATACCTTAATGTTTGCTAGAAAAAGATCTAAGTCATCAGCGTATTACCACGTTTGTGACATGTTTTCAGAATTGGTGACTAAGAAGATGTTGGATGCTTTCACTCTATCTTCCTCAGGTGTACTAAATTGTCTGCCAAATGGTCTAGATAGAGGGCTTAGCTAAAACACCCTCAAAGTTCACATCTCAACTCTCTCAGCTCTGTTGAGTGTTAAATGGGCACATGATCCAGATGTGATTTAATTTCTTAGAGCACTTCTTCATATATGCCTCCAAGGAAATCTTTCTGTGCACATGGGATATACCGGTGTCTGCTTTTCAAGATAACCCAATATATCATCTTCTATGAGGATAAAGTGGTACTGTGCATAACTCTGGAATTCAGACCTAAAGTAGTGTCCTCATGCCACATCAACCAAGACATCAATCAAGATCCTTCAGCTCTGACCTACTCAAAGAATGACACAACAGATCTAGGAAAACTAGATTTAGTTAGATACCTGTTGATTTACCTACTGGAGAAAAATCACCCAATCTATCTATAATTCCATACACACATACGAAAGGAGAGAAAGACACTTTGACAACTATAAGAAGGTGGATTGTTTCTACAATCTTTACGGTCTTTAAGTCCAGAGATATAGCTATTCCACAGGGTTGAGAGCCATTCCACTAGGGTGTTGTCATCTTCCTGGGCAGCAGCAGCCAGTGTTTCAGCAGACCCAAAATTCAGGGCGACAGCATGGTTTACTATATCCATGTTCGTTAAGCATCTACTATACTGTATTTGCCAAAGCAGTTCTGTTTTGCAGCAATATTTTTTTATGTATTTGTTTAAATCCCCAACTTGGGGTTTGACTTGGCTACAACCCTTGATTAAGTACTGCCGTGGATATGGCTGGGAAACAGGAAAATTAATTGATACTTTCCAATATTATCCTTTCTCGATAATATGCCATGGCAGCACTACGTTTTCCACCCCAAATCTCTTTGGGTTGATTTAATTTGTTATTGACTGAGGAAGAAGGGGGCGGCCCTTTATTAATATGGTGATTTTACCTGTCCAATTTTACCTGTCCAAAGCATGGGAACCTGCCTGATAGTTCAGGGTGTTTCGGTTAGAGAAAGAACAGACAGGAAGGCTCTATGTATATGTATACAGCTAAATATCAAATATTTTTTGTGTTTGTGACCTTTTATTTTAGTTGGATCCCTACCAGTAAATATCTGTTCTGCTCTTCCGCTGCGGCTCTGATCATCTGCCAGTAGTAGAACTTCCCGTTTCATGCTATTAAACAATGTGTTTTTGTTTTTTTGGCATTGACAATTAAAAGTGTTCAAGTCTTTGACAAAAGACTTAAAACTTAATGCAAAACAAAAGGGGAACTGTTTTAAAATAACATACAGTTTACTTCCTAAACAGAAAGCAAAGCACAAATTTAGTCTTATAGTTCCACGTTAAAAGTTTATATATTTGTTCTAAGCTACGTCATGTCTCAACCTTCACTGTGAACTTCGACCATCTCTTTGTATCACCATCTTTAAACATTCTCCATATCCCTAATGTATCTGCCATTAGGCCAACTTATTTCTAATGTGCATGTGTGGCTACCACTGTGAGCACATCAGGCCCTCCCCTTAGGAAACCATTGCTGCAATGCTTTCCTATGGGGACGTTACTGATGCTGGATGTCCACATGCAGAGCGTGAGGACTCCCAGCGTCAGTTAGGCAACCAAAAATCACTTAGCAAGCAGGAAGTGCCTCTAACTGACAGCCTGTCAGTGGGGGGCTGGACAATAGCTTAAAGGAGCACTATAGGGTCAGGAACACAAACATGTATTTCTGACCCTATAGGGTTAAAACCACCATTTAGCCCCCTACCTCCATAAATATAGTAAAAATCTTACTGTATTCAAGCCTGAAGCTGCTGGCTCTGCCCTGTCTGCCTAAAAAAAACAAGTAGTCTGCTGACATCATCAGAAGTGGTAGTCTGATCCAATCTCAGTGCTTCCCCATAGGATTGTCTGAGACTGACAAAGAGGCAGATCGGGGCAGAGCCAGCATGATTTAAACACAGCCCAGGCCAATCAGCATCTCCTCATACCGCAAAAAGCCTGAAGGTAGTGATTCTACACACCAAAACAAATTCAATAAGCTGTAGCTGTTCTGATGACTATAGTGTCCCTTTAATGGCTGAGTGACACTACAGCATAATATGACACTATTGTATTCCGAATGCTATAGTTTTCCTTAGTGTTTCCTAAGTGTTTATAGGTAGTGATGTCCCGAACGGTTCGCCACGGACGGCGAACATATGCGCTGTTCGGTCCGCCCCCTATTCGTCATCATTGAGTAAACTTTGACCCTGTACCTTACAGTCAGCAGACACATTCCAGCCAATCAGCAGCAGACCCTCCCTCCCAGACCCTCCCACCTCCTGGACAGCTCACTAAGAATGCAGCTTCACAATGAATGTAAAATGGATGCTGTCCAGGAGGTGGGAGGGTCTGGGAGGGTCTGCTGCTGATTGGCTGGAATGTGTCTGCTGACTGTGAGGTACAGGGTCAAAGTTTACTCAATGATGACGAATAGGGGGCGGACCGAACACCGCATATGTTCACCGTCCGTGGCGAACCATTCGGCGAACCGTTCGGGACATCACTATTTATAGGTGTTATCGGAGCAGGTGCAGAATCAGATAGCATGGCTAATTCTTCATTACGGTTGTATCTTATTTTTCCATTCAGCTTTTATTGATATAATAACTGTGCACAACAAATGCAATAGCTATCAAAATAAAACAGTTAGTCAAATACATTGGTGGTTGTATCTTATTGCTTAGATGTTCATATCCGATTGTCATATATAGTGTATAGTAAGTATAGTATGTCTTATTGCATTCTGACATTATTGCATTGTAAACGTATTATATTATCAGCTCAAATATACACAGAATACAGTTTGTATAAACCTGGCTAGATTCTAATGCAGCTGTTACTGGAAGGAAGGGAGCGGTATGGGGGTAGTAAACCTGTGCTTGGTAGATTCTTGAATTCTAGCAGGACAACCTTGAACACAGGAGATTGAGATAGCAGACATTTGCGTTTCAGCCAAAATAAACTGGGATATTTAACAATTGCATTGCAACACAGGAAATACATGTTAACCCATTCTATTCCATTATCATGCTTCTTCAATTATTGGGTCTCTAAATTAGCATCATACAAGAATCCGGGATAGTCAGTTCATTTACGGTGATTAGTAAGATATCTCCTTATTATCGGATCCTTGTCTGTCTTAACTAAATGATATACAGATTCCACCCATCATAACTTTTGTCAGGTATTCAACATACCTTATGTGGTGGCACTTGTTAAACAATAATAATAAAATTTTTATAAATTAATGATTAAAAAGGATTAACAAAAAAATCTCCCATATACATTGCAGTAATTGTAGTAACAGCTCTAGATATCCCAATGTCAAAACGTAAAACATGCTGAGAAAATATGAGACGCAGCAATAAAAAGTGGAGAAAATGCAGTCCTGAGATCATAATAAACACACTGTGCAGATAACTACAGCCAGCGAGTATCACTGGACCTCAGGAAAGCAGAATTCATGCATTTATTTCAAGATAACAAAATAAACATGATTATTGTTTCACTTTGCTACAAAGTAAAACAACAAAGTTATTTCAGAAGTTACGGGACATGGCCATCAGTATGTGTACACCTGACCATTACACCTATATGAGCGTGTTGGATATCCCATTCAAAAAATCAAAGACCTTAATATGAAGTATAAAAGGAGTTGAAAAGGCTCTCCACAATATTTTGCTTTGTGTCTGTGGGAATCTGTCCCCATTTATCCAAAGGAGCATTTGTGAGGTCGCCATTTGTTAGACATGAAGGTTTTGCTCCTGATCAGTGGTCCAAGTCATCCGAAGGCTGTTCAATGAGGCATTCAGGGACACCAGACAAACAAACCCTAGCAAATGCATGAGAGCCAGCGAAAATGTCCAGTTTGCCTTTTTAATAGTGTAGGCTCTAGAACACATTAATAAAGGCATTCAGCAGTCTAATTCTAAAGTGCAAAACCAAGTCAACATGTAAGGCCAACCAGTCACAATGTAGTCCCAAGCTAAGTCTCAATCACAAGTGTCTTGCCCACCGATGTCCAGAATGTATTTTTTTTCCAAGTTAGAAGTTGTTATAGTTGCAAGTATAAACGTATGTAATTTGCTTTCCCTGGTTCATTATAAAAATCTGCACTTTACATTCGTCACAAGTTAGCTTGTCAGCGGTGATAGTAAATATGTTTGAACTATGCTCTTCTAAGAGAATTATCTTCTAAGAGGAAATCATGTTTTTTTTCTTATATGCTAGTTTTTACAGAATTTAGTTCATTAAACTTTAAATAGCGAAGAAATCAGTTAACATCCAGAAAAGTCGCAACAAAATGAAAAGAATTTCTAATGCGCAAGCACTTTCTACAGCAAAGGGGAAGTTTGGAAGACTACAATACTTTCGGCAGAGAACTATAAACTTGTATTGTCTTTCTTTTTATCTGTAGATGCCTCCTATGGGGGAAGGTCTCAGTGTCATAATTTCCTGGAAAATCTTTGCCAATCACCCTATAAATATGTATTTTCTCATTCATTTTACACCCACACGAAAACAGGGACAAGAAAAACCAGGACGTAAAAGACTAATAATAAATACCCCTATTTTAAATGCATGTTATAAGAAACGAAAAGTACATTTTTAAAGCTTTTCAGACCTAGATAAGGCTTCATCACACAGGAGCCTCTCATGATGATGTGTGGGGTCTGCTCTTATTCATTAACCCCCTGGTGACTGACCATTCTCCAAGTTTCTGTCATTTTGTGTCTGAGACCTTTTTTGGAGTTTTGTCATGTGTTTTTTCCATGGTATATCTCTGAAAAAACTATTGTTTTTTTCACACCTTACTGCCAAGTCGCTTATGCTGGGATTGAAATTCCGTGGTTCAATAATCTGGGATTTAAATAATGTATCTACGATTAGTGATGTCCCGAACGGTTCGCCGAACGGTTCGCGAACGGTTCACCACGGACTCATCATTGAGTAAACTTTGACCCTGTACCTCACAGTCAGCAGACAGATTCCAGCCAATCAGCAGCAGACTCTCCCTCCCAGACCCTCCCACCTCCTGGACAGCATCCATTTTACATTCATTGTGAAGCTGCATTCTTAGTGAGCTGTCCAGGAGGTGGGAGGGTCTGGGAGGGAGGGTCTGCTGCTGATTGGCTGGAATGTGTCTGCTGACTGTGAGGTACAGGGTCAAAGTTTACTCAATAATGAGTCCGTGGCGAACTGTTCGTGGCGAACCGTTCGTGAACCGTTCGGCGAACCGTTCGGACCATCACTATCTACGATACTAATTTATATATATACAAAACAAGCAAAGAAAAAAAGAGTTACCTGTGCACTAGCCCAAATCCCTGTGCATATTTAAATAAATGGAGGTTATTCAGTTACTCTAATAGCCATTAGATGTAAGCCCACCTGTCACGTCAAGGCAGACCCCCCTAGGCGGGTCCTACTCTAACAATTCATCTTGCTTCCTTCAACTTCAGGCAAATAAATCTCTAATGAGACAAATGGGGGTATTTTTCTAAACCCCTACATATATATTCTTTTTTTTGTCATTATTTATTTTAGTAGCCATTCAACAAAAGTATACACAGATGTATAATCAGCACATTTGCACATTTTATAGGAAATAACAGGTAGATCATCTGAAATACAGTTCTATTAAAGTCAACCAGGAGACCATATGGATTATTGCAGAGCAGAACTGTATGAGGATACATAAGTGAGATACCACTGGGTTGCTTAGCGGGGCAATTGCAAGTGAGCAGTAGGATAATTAAAAAAATTAAAAGAGAGAAAAGGCAAATAACAGAACGGAATATAGTGATATTTATCACAGAAGGGCTAAAGGACCCAGGAAGAAAACTGCATGACATCCATAATTAGTAACAGACCTGCCCAGAGGAACCGTACCACAATCAACTGATGGCTGACACAGGGAAACTTTTGGGGAAGCATGGGAGTAATAAAAGGCAGCGTTCCAGCTGCAGGTCAAAATGGAGGAATGTCATGGACTTGGGATTTTGAATGTCCTTTGGTGTCCAGACTCGGATTCAGGATACATGCCAAAGCAACATTAGTAATATGAAATTGGCCCATAAAATGGCGCTCTTACAACAGTAAATGGTTTAGAAGGAAAACTGTTGCGATTTTTGATTATTTCTAAAAATGAAAGATTTCATGTAATAAAGCCTTGCTTTGTTTTGTTCTGTTATGAATTTTTACAACTTAATTACTATTTTAGTGCATCTACGACCTTACCCTAGCTCCATGGAGGCAGCCATATTCAGCCATCTTTGGTCACAAACACCAATACTCTGCTAAGACCATGTACAATTCAGAGGTTTCAAAGCACTCCGGAATACATTTTGGAGATGCGTGGCCCTTGTGCATGATATCAGACGTCATGAATGCACATTAGATCTTTGTTACCTGTCAGTTTATTTTTTGGATAGGCGATGATTCCAAAGAAAGAGGACTTAAAATGGCCGCCCCCATAGAGCGAGGGTAAGCAAAGGAGATGTATTAATTATCTGCATTACAAAACAATACACATTGGTTATAATACATATAATCTTTTATTTTAAATCATAATTATTATTGTTTTCCTGTGCGTGCCCATTGAGAAATGACAGCAGTAGATAGTTTTCCTGAATTTTAAAGTTGTGAGGTACACTTTTAGAGTGAAACACTTGTTCTTACAGTTACATAACTAGGAGTACAAATTGAACCGTTGCTAGTCTCTAGACCGCTGCTAGTCTTTAGACCGTTGCTAGTCTGCGGTTGCTTTTCTTTTACTTTGTCAGTTTGATATTCGGTCTCTTCAGACACAAACATGAGGGCTTCACACGACTCTCCACCTTCCTCAGTGGGCTGTTGTGGTAGATGTAATGTACTATGGAACGGTTTGTTCAAGAACTGAAAATATAAAATAAAATAAAAAGATATTATCAGCTATTGTACAAATCGTGAATCTTCAGGCAGATAGCAGTGGTCAATAAAGGCCATTAAATGCCCTGGAAATGACTAATTTATAGTGTTGGATTTCATATTTTAAGGCCAATGTAGTCAAATTGACCAAGAACATGGGTAATAGGAAGGCCAGTTTAGTTGTTTTGATCTCAATATTTGAAATCCACTTTGAATTGCCAATAAATCTAACTTTAGATCTAAATAATCTTGTGAGAAACTTCAGAAATACATAGTCTGTGGGGTTGCCTACACATACATATGATGAACATATTAGTTCTATACATATACATGTGATGAACGTACTAGTTCCATACCTATACATGTGATGAACGTACTAGTTCCATACCTATACATGTGATGAACGTACTAGTTCCATACCTATACATGTGATGAATGTATTAGTTCCATACCTATACATGTGATGAATGTACTGGTTCCATACCTATACATGTGATGAACGTACTGGTTCCATACCTATACATGTGATGAATGTACTAGTTCCATATCTATACATGTGATGAACGTACTGGTTCCATACCTATACATGTGATGAACGTACTAGTTCCATACCTATACATGTGATGAACGTACTAGCTCCATACATTTCATGAGCATTTTATGATCAGAATGAAGTACAAACCTCTTTTAGATGTTGTGGGAAGGAATATGAAGGAAAATACACGAAACGTGCTTGCTGGTATACATAGTGTCCCAGATAAAATAGCGAGCTAACTACAGCAATAACCAAGAACATGGGTAATAGGAAGGCTAGGACAAGCATCCACACGGGGATTTTACCTGGAATATAAAATAGAAAATATATCTCATCATCAGCAGAAAGTGGAAACATGGTTATTATACTGGCATGTCCTTTACAGTTAGACTAGGGAGAATTTCACAGCTTTTATTTTTTTTCCTTAATGTTTATCTTCATATTATGATATTTTTCCATTAATTTCTATTTTCACATTCTGATATAGTTCCATTAATATTGTTAATATTCGGATGGCTTTCTATACTAGATTTTAACTTCTTTTTTTGTTTACAAAGTATCAGCTCAGTATAAAAGGGGACATACTTAAGTGTTTTTATTACACTCCCTTCACAGTGTCTCCATTGTACTAAGGAAGGAAGTTCTATAACAGTAAACAATGTATTACTGATAATATAAATAAGATTGTATAGGAATCCATCCTCTTGTTAAGAACCATTGTTCCAATGATTAGACTATCTGTCTGAGTATGCCCCTTTCAATTTGAATCTGTATCTTGCTGCTATGACATTTGTACTTATTCTATAGATACTATACCAAGGGTCAGCAATTTATAGCACATGAGGTGCCTTTACACGGCACACAAGGCTGCCAGATTCAAACAGGCTAGGCAGATCTGAGGACCTTCAACAGGGCTGGCCTAACAGAGAACCCAGTAGCACTTCTTCAGGTATGCAAAGGGGAGGAGGGATGGGGGGGTAACCCTTGCCCTGTACTTGGTAAGCCTGGTCCTCAATGTCACAAGCATCCCCCACTGCTAAGGAAAAATTAGGTTGGCTAAAATAACAGCAATGTTAATGTGTGGGTGTAGTGGTATGTGTGTTAAGCAGTGTGATTGTGTGTGTCTTGCAGTTTGTGTCTAACAGTGTGATGTTGTGTGTAGCAATATGTGTGAGTCTAGCAGTGTGCATGGCAATGTGTAACTGTGTCTTGGCAGTGTGCACTGGGGCAATGTATCTGTCAGAGTGCATTAGGTTTTGCGTGTGTCTGCCTGTGTGTATTGGATTGTGTGCGTCTGGCTGTGTGTTTTGTAGTGTACATTTTGTCTGGCAGTGTATATTGAAATGTGTGTGTGTATGTATTCCATAAGTATAGCTAGAATGTGTTTCTATGTGTGTCTCTCATTGTCATTGTCTGTGATTGTGTGTAAGAGATGCAAATACACAGATACATGCAACATACAGGAGACATGCAAAAACACACAGCTTCACAACCCCCACAAACACAGCATCACTGATAGCCCACATACACACAGAACATCGCACACCATATGACATATAACCCACGCACACAATCACACAAGCAGCCCCTCATACACAACCCACATTCACACACATACCATGATACCCAGCCTACATACATACATAACACACAGCCACAAACTGCTTATACACATTATAACATAGCCCACATAGCAACCACAGCATCCGTACATAACACAAGCAGCAAACAGTAACATACACACAAGTTAATTTAAAAAAAAAGAAAAAATAGGATCGGCACACCAAATAACTTCAGAGTCTTGTTTTGGCACAGTGCTGCTAACCGGGTGTCTACCCCTGAGCCATACAATAGATTGGTATAGCTTACCCACCCACCTTCCTTCCTATCATTCCCTTGGGTCTTCCAGACACTCCTTGACCAATCCCCCTATGTTTTTAACATCCTCCTTGAGGTCTCTGAGACTATGGTTGTGCTTTTCTTGCTAAACAGATTTACCGGTTTACTCACCGTCATCTGTTGTTTCCTGACAAATCACAGGGCTAAACTGCCCAAGATTGTCAAACTCCTTAGCGTACACCTGGACTTTGACGCAGTAGGTGGTCCATGTTTCTAAACCTGGTAATGTTTCATAGTTTTGGGAGGTCTCAATGATTTTACCCTGAAAAATAACATTGAAAATAAAGAATATACAGATGCAAAATAAAGCAATATTGCATAGAGCTCCAATAGTTATATGTACCTCCCTTTACTGTAATGTAACCTCCCTCTACAGTAGAGTGAAGTACAGTAAATGCAGGAGTTAAAAAGTGTATGTACACCTGTGTGTACATCTGTTAGCACTATATAAATAAAATATACATATACTGTATAGCTACTACACTCACTTTACCCTAATGTAACATGTAAAGTGCTACGTACACCTGTCAGTGCTATATAAATAAAATATACATACACTGTATACCTACTGCATTCACTGTACCTCCCTTTACTCTAATGTAACATGTAAAGTGCTAAGTACACATGTCAGCACTATATAAATAAAATATACATACACTGTATACCTACTGCATTCACTGTACCTCCCTTTACTCTAATGTAACATGTAAAGTGCTAAGTACACATGTCAGCACTATATAAATAAAATATACATACACTGTATACCTACTGCATTCACTGTACCTCCCTTTACTCTAATGTAACATGTAAAGTGCTAAGTACACATGTCAGCACTATATAAATAAAATATACATACACTGTATACCTACTGCATTCACTGTACCTCCCTTTACTCTAATGTAACATGTAAAGTGCTAAGTACACATGTCAGCACTATATAAATAAAATATACATACACTGTATACCTACTGCATTCACTGTACCTCCCTTTACTCTAATGTAACATGTAAAGTGCTAAGTACACATGTCAGCACTATATAAATAAAATATACATACACTGTATACCTACTGCATTCACTGTACCTCCCTTTACTCTAATGTAACATGTAAAGTGCTAAGTACACATGTCAGCACTATATAAATAAAATATACATACACTGTATACCTACTGCATTCACTGTACCTCCCTTTACTCTAATGTAACATGTAAAGTGCTAAGTACACATGTCAGCACTATATAAATAAAATATACATACACTGTATACCTACTGCATTCACTGTACCTCCCTTTACTCTAATGTAACATGTAAAGTGCTAAGTACACATGTCAGCACTATATAAATAAAATATACATACACTGTGTACCTACTACATTCACTGTACCTCCCTTTACCCTAATGTAACATGTAAAGTGCTAAGTACACGTCAGCACTATATAAATAAAATATACATACACTGTATACCTAGTGCACTTACTGTAACTCCTAATGTAATGCAACATGCACAGTGCTAAGTACACCTATTAGCTCTATATAAATAAAATATACATACACTGTATACCTACTGCATTCACTGTAATTATCTTATGTAACATGTAAAGTGCTAAGTACACATGTCAGCACTATATAAATAAAATTTACATACACTGTGTACCTACTGCATTCACTGTACCTCCCTTTACCCTAATGTAACATGTAAAGTGCTAAGTACACATGTCAGCGCTATATAAATAAAATATACATACACTGTATACCTAGTGCACTTACTGTACCTCCTGCTACTGTAATGAAACATGTAGAGTGCTAAGTACACCTGTTAATGTTATATATATAAACACTTGATAACTATTGCATTTATTGTATCTCCCGTTACTCTAACGTAACATGTAAAGTGCCAAGTACACATGTCAGTGCTATATAAGTATAATATACTTGCACTGTATACTAACTGCACTTACTGTACTTTCCTCTATTGTTATGTAACCTGTTAAGTGTTGAATACACCTGTAAGTGCTCTATAAATAAAAAATACATACACTGTACACCTAATGCACTTACTATACCTCTCTCTTCTCTAATATAACATGTACACTGCTAAGTACACCTGTTAGCGCTCTATAAATAAAATATACATACAATGTATACCTAATACACTTACTGTACCTCTCCCTACTGTAATATAATGTGTACAGTGCTAAGTGCACCTGTTAGCGCTCTATAAATAAAATATATATACACTGTATACCTAATGCACTTACTGTACCTCTCTCTACTGTAATATAAAGTGTACAGTGCTATGTGCACCTGTTAGCATTCTATAAATAAAAGATATATACACTGCATACCTAATGCACTTACTGTACCCCTCTCTATTGTAATATAATGGGTACAGAGCTAAGTACGCCTGTTAGTGCTCTATAAATAAAAGATATATACACTGTATACCGAATGCACTTACTGTACCTCTCTCTACTGTAATATAATGTGTACAGTGCTTAGTACACCTGTTAGTGCTCTATAAATAAAAGATATATACACTGTATACCTAAAGCACTTAGTGTACCTCTCTCTACTGTAATATAATGTGTACAGTGCTAAGTACGCTTGTTAGTGCTCCAAAAATAAAAGATATATACACTGTATACCTAAAGCACTTACTGTACCTCTGTCTACTGTAATATAATGTGTACAGTGCCAAGTACACCTGTTAGCGCTCTATAAATAAAATATATATACACCGTATACCGAATGCACTTACTGTACCTCTCTCTACTGTAATATAATGTGTACGGTGCTAGGTACGCCTGTTAGTGCTCCAAAAATTGAAGATATATACACTGTATACCTAAAGCACTTACTGTACCTCTCTCTACTGTAATATAATAGGTACAGTGCTAAGTACACCTGTTAGTGCTTTATAAATAAAAGATATTTACACTGTATACCTAAAGCACCTCTCTCTACTGTAATATAATGTATACAGTGCTAAGTACACCTGTTAGCGCTCTATAAATAAAAGATATATACACTGTATACCTAAAGCACTTACTGTACCTCTCCCTACTGTAATATGTGTACAGTGCTAAGTACACCTGTTAGCGCTCTATAAATAAAATATATATACACTGTGTACCTAATGCACTTAACCTCTCTCTACTGTACCTCTCTCTACTGTAGATTATTTTTCCAAATGGAGGAGGATAGGTAAGTTTTAGAGCAAACAAACATGTCAGACTAACATAACACAGAGTTCTAGAATATTGTGTCATTTTGGTAATGTGGCTCCTGTGACCACGTGCATTTTTGTCCCTGGAGGGCTCATTGTCAAGCCTAGTAGAACACTTGAGTGAAGGTGTGTGAAAGTTACTTACGTCAGAGTTGGTATTTTCTTTCCAGTAGACCAATCTATACAGCAAATAACCATATTTGTCCTTCACGGAGCTGCCATCAGACTCCTCGTTTGGACCCCAGAAACTGACATCGAGAGTCCCTGCCCTTGGGGTGACTTTTACGGCAGGAGGCCCCAGGATAGCTGCACGCACACAAATAACACCACATTATGTTATTAACAAATAGTAATTGAATATTTTACTCTATATCCTAGAACATCTGTTTTTATAGTCTTTATCGTATGTTAATTTCCGTATTAGTTACCGTTAAAGAATAGAGAAATCACGACATGTACCCAGGATTTGTACTTTTAAGAAGCCTGTCCAACTAATTTATCAATTTTATTTTGATTTATTTAATTTTAATTGGGTGTATTTTCTTGTTCATAAAATATTTTAACAGGAAGGAGAGCAAATACAAATACTCTGTAACACCCACGCTATAAACCACACATACAGTACAATTATAGATACATATACAGTATTTATAGATACATTATTACACATACAATATGAGACATATACAGTATTTATAGATACATTATTACACATACAATATGAGACATATACAGTATTTATAGATATACACTTTAATTATTACACATACAATATGAGACATATACAGTATTTATAAATACAAGAGGTTTGTCTTGACGTGGCAGGTGAGCTTAAACTTTAATTGCCATTGCCGTGATGCTAAAACCCTCCTGTTATTTACATGATACTTGTCATTATTAGAGGTGTTTAATAATTTTTAAAATGTTAAAACTGTTGTTTTGATTAACAAAAGTTACTTACTTTGTTTGTAGGGATCAAATGTTATATTGGCCCAGTCCGATACATTGGCATATAACGCCGCTCTCACACGTAGTTTAGATTCATATGTAACCAGTGAGAAATCACACTCTGGGGTATTTGTTATACACACAGTCCTAAAGTCCTCAGGTTCTAAGAAATACCTGAAAAGCATAGAAACCCAATGTATTAATGTGTTTATTAATGTAATCAGTCACAGCTTTGTTTAAAAGCAACACTGGTCTTTTCTGACCCCTTATTTTTTTAATGGATTATACAAGAGTGTAATGCGGATAATATATCACTCAGAGCTGCTTGATTGACAGGTCTAAGCTACTGTCAGAGCTAAGAGCAGGCAATATATGTTCTATCTACAATCACCCTTGTAAAGTAGTCATGGTACTTACAGTGACACTTTAATATAACAAAGTGTAAATGAATATTTATATTTAGTATGGAGACACAATCTGACATTTTTCTATATCTGTGAGCCTCAATGCCTAAGCTGTTGCCAGTAACTAGTGATGTCCCGAACGGTACGCCGAACGGTTCGCAAACGGTTCTCCACGAACGGTTTGCCACGGACTCATCATTGAGTAAACTTTGACCCTGTACCTCACAGTCAGCAGACACATTCCAGCCAATCAGCAGCAGACCCTCCCTCCCAGACCCTCCCACCTCCTGGACAGCTCACTAAGAATGCAGCTTCACAATGAATGTAAAATGGATGCTGTCCAAGAGGTGGGAGGGTCTGAGAGGGAGGGTCTGCTGCTGATTGGCTGGAATGTGTCTGCTGACTGTGAGGTACAGGGTCAAAGTTTACTCAATGATGAGTCTGTGGCGAACCGTTCGTGGCGAACCGTTCGCGAACCATTCGGCGAACCGTTCAGCGAACCGTTCGGGACATCACTACCAGTGACGAATGCTACCTACATTAAGAAACTCAGCTTTATAGGAAATAGAGTTTGAAGTTCTGTCAGTGTGGCTGCCTCAAAAAGTGACACTTGTCATGGTGTCCCATCACAAAAATATGGTGTATAGTCTCCAGAACAACTACCGCTTAATGTATTTGTTCAGATGAGTATTGTCAGACCCTGCCGGCTTTTAGCTGCAAACACTGTCTTTTCAGAAAAAATGCAGGGTTTACATTACAGCCTAGGGACACCTCCACTGGCCATTCCTCAGGTGGCTACTAGAGGTGGAGACATTCAGTGTCTCCACACTCTGCATGGAGACACCGTAACACCGTAAGTGTGCACTGCTCATTACATAATTACATAAAAAAATACAATCTGATCTTTACTTAAAACAGTAATCTAAAAAAATAGGTTTTACTCTAGTGACAACCAGGTGTTTACAGAGATTGTCATGTTTTTTCTTTTCCTTCCAGAACATAACATGCAAACCAAAACTCATGGACCTAAACAACACACAGAGGAGACACTGTTGTCCTGCATTAGGACATGTTTGGGCACACGCCTTGAGCACACCTATTGTTTAAATATTTCTTCGACCTGAAATGCAAATTAATTTATTATCATGGTTGGGCAGAATAAGACCTACAGGCTGTATTCCATTGTGTACGTATATTTCACGTTTTCACCAGTGTCGGGCATGCTCCATCGTAAGATGTTCTTGAAATTTAAGGACTCCACAGTTACATTGATGGGCTTGGGTACTTTTCCAAATGCTGCAATGTAAAAAATATCAGATTTATTGTCTGGTATAATTTTGGGGCATAGAATTAGTGCCATTAAAAATAGCACATATATTTAAGAGATTGTGGTGAAGGTAACAAAGAAAAAAGCATCAAACAGTTATAAGACATTATGAAATAGCTACAAAAAACACAGCATTAAGGAAGAAAGCATTGGTATTGCCCAAGCTTTAGGTTCAGCGGTTCAGTGCTTTGAGTTACGGAGGACAATAGGTAGTAGGTCCAGGTGCTATGGACAGTAACATCCATCATTCGCAGCCAGGTAATGTCTGGCTGAAAGTGATATGACATAAAGTCCACAGAAAAGCACCTTGCTCAAATGAAACAATCGGAACATCATTTTATAAAACTTCATATTCCATGGGGTTTTGCCCTAACTTCCACCAGATCTAGTTTCACATAGAGGAAGATGAAATCTGATGAATCTTGCTTTCCTGTTATCGTAAATCCACTGAGCTCCACCATAGCTGTACAGGTCTGCCAGTCCCTAGACAAACCCTATATTGGATGAATTGTTGACTCCAGATGTGAGTGGATCTCTGCTGTAGATGTTAAAATTGGATCTGCAGCACCCTTAGTGACTTTACCCCACTCCCTCTAGCATGCCAGATCGTTTGAGCAGGGTTCTCAACACCCTCTGTTCCTCTGTATCTAACTCATCTTGTTTCAAATACTTGTTCACCTATTGTACAGTGCTGCGGAATTTCTTGGTGTGACAGGACACTTGCACAAGATCAAATTTTTGGGGTGCCTCCGGTTCAGGAGATTGACTGCCGTTTGCCACAGTGGGGTTAATAAACTCCTGTCTCCCGGCAAAGCAGGTAAGTCGAGCAGCATAGACCTAAATTTTTTTAGTTGGCTGTAAAAAGCGTTTCATAGCAGTCATATGGAGGAGCTCATCTGAGATGCGTCTCCCCTACACAGCAGTCAGGTCATGCCCCTCACCCCTCGTCCACTCTTATGAGGTAAACTAATATGGCCTTTAACCCGACGCTAAGCTCTCATTTCTTCTCTGTGTCTATCCAGCCTACAGACCTGCGTAAGACGTATAAATAATTGATTGTTCCAGCCACCTTTAGAATATGCTACTGTTAATCCCATCAATACAACTATCAATTGTACTCCCTGCTTGCAGCAATCTTTACAGGTATATTTAAAACCCACCACTCAGCGTTTCTTTATTCTGATAGTGCTTAATATATCATCTCCCTTTTTCTCAGTTTCCTCTCCCCTTTAATGACTTCCTCTACTCTCACTCTTGAGACAAGTGGTGGCTAAAAAAGGTAGATCCCCAACTGTAGCAGAACTATAAACCTCATTTTGCTTTATCACCCATAAGGCTGGCAAAGCATCATGGGAGATGTAGTTCTGCAAAAGATGGGGATTTGTTTCCAGGCCACCACTGCATCAGACTCTTGTTTTTTGTTTTTTTCAGTTCCTTTCTTGCACTGTGTGGTCGATGGTGTGCATTGCCAGACTCCTGTCAGGATTACTAGTTGATCCAGCACGCAGAACTGTATCACACCTAGGACTAAAGGTAACGTCTTACCGGGCCTTAGAATGGCTGGACTTAACGTGCCAGAGAATAGTCAGAATACTTGCCGAGTTCGGGGACACAGAATGAGACACAACGATGAGGGAAAGCCAAAAGTCAGGGATACCACAATACAGGGAAGTCAAAACGAAGCCAACATCAATAACCAGAAATAAGCAGTCAGGAACACACTCTCGGGCAACCACCAAGGGAAACCACGGCAGGGCAACGTGGAAAAGGCAAAAGGAGTTTAAATAAGCCTCCTTCAGATCCGATTGGCCGTACCCGTCCTTTGACCCCAGAACATGCGTGTGCGTCCTTTACGTGCCGTCACACGCTCGTTTCCGTTGTCAATACCGTGGGCGGACGTGGGGTTACAAGTTAGTGTGGATCCGCAGCGGCTAGCGTCCACCAACATGCTGCAGGAGTCAGATATATTGACGCATGGCCGCTGAACGGCACTTCCGCGTTTGTTAGGAAGGCAATTACTGCAGATACCGAAGTTGAGGATCAATATGTTATAACTCCTTCATGGCCGCTTGGCCTTCACCTTCACTGATTCACCAGCTGAACATACCATGTGATCTCTATACTGATAAAACGGATATTATACCTGTGTATTGACACACCCATGCAATGTATCCTCGCAAAATGTGCACACTTACCCTTAATAAGTTCTCTATTCTGCTTTCACTTCAAAAAAATTTCAATAAAAACATATTTATTAAAAAAATTACTGCCTGTCCCAACACTATATTAATACCATTATATATTAGACAATTAAAGTTTACTACTCACATTGCACCTTAAAGGACCACTCTAGGCACCCAGACCACTTCAGCTTAATGAAGTGGTCTGGGTGCCAGGCAGGAATAGATTAAGAGCCCAGTGGGCCTGGTGCTGACAATTATGATGGGCCTAATTACAGAATTGTCACAGCCCCCGGCTCGCCGCAAGGTGTGGTCGCACCGGACCAGTGCAACCGCACCAACGAACTAAGCTTACCTGCTCAGCGGCGAGTCAGTTGCCGCTCTGCCGGGTTCTCCTGGCTGCCTGCCCGGGTTCAAGATGGTGCCGAACACGCGGACGCAGCCAGATATAGCTCGGCCCCCCAGGGTCACACACACACGTTCTGTAGTCAGAGGCCAGAGGGATATTTAACCTAGGTTATTGCCCTGTCGTGGTTTTCGTTCCTGGTTCCTTGAATCCCGAGAGTGCGTTTTCTTGTCCTGTTTTTGATATTCCCAGTATTTTGACCTTGACTATTCTGATTCCTGGTTTCCCTGACTTGGCTTGGTAAATGGTATTGTATATTTTTGGCTCCCTTGACCATTTTCTGTTTTTAACGTATTAGTCCGGCCATTCTAAGGACCGGTTTATGTTTTATCATTTTCTGTTCTGTCTATGTAGATGTTACATAGTTCTGCGTGCTGGACCACACTAGCAGTCATGACAAGAATCTTATCGACCATATACACTAAAACAGTCGTACCTCTCAAGCGTCAAGTATCTAATGGAGATGGTGTTGGAGGGAAACTCAAAGGATGCAGCTTTAAGAAAACACATACTCTATGCTAATCTCTCTCTAATTTATGCTTTAATCTTTCAAGTAAATCCATACCCCCTAACAGCAGTGTCCAGTGAAGCATGAAGTCAATGGGGACACTGGGAGAAATGGGGACACAGAACTAGGGACACAGAGACATGGAGACACAGACACTGGAAGACATGGGGACACTAAGACACTAGGGACATTGAGAGACATGGGGATACTGAGACACTAGGGAAACTGGCTGGGAGGCATGGAGACACAGGCATAGAGACACTTGGGGACACTGGGAGACATGGGGACACTGAGAGACATGGGACACAGACACTAGAGACACTGGCTGGGAGACGTAGGGACACTGGGAGACATGGGGACAATGAGACACTAGGGGGACTGGCTGGGAGACGTGGACACTGGGAGACATGGGGACACAGACATTTGGGGACACTGGGAGACATGGGGACACTGAGACACTAGGGACACTGAGAGACATGGGGACATAGACACTGGGAGACTAGGGGACACTGGGAGACTCAGGGACACTGAGACAATAGGGACACTGGCTTGGAGGCATGGGGACACTGTGTCCCATGTGTCTCTGTGTCTCAGTGTGTCTCCCAATGCCCCATGTGTCTCAGCATCCCCATGTCTCACAGTGTCTCAGTGTCTCCATGTGTCCCCTAGTGTCTCAGTGTCCCCATGTCTCCCTGCTGCCTTTCCCCCCATCCTTCACTTACCTGAGCTGTAGGCTGTCTCTGCAGGCTGGGAGCTGCTGTCTAGATTCTTTGTGCTGTGTAACTGCTCCCCTGCAGATCAGTGAGTAGAGAGAGGCAGGGAGGGAGATGCTGTAACTTCCTATCCCTGCCTCTCTCCACACACAGTGACCCTTACTGGTTAGTGCTGATATTACAGAGTAATCTCCATTTATAATGTGAAAAATTCCTGCATTTGTATTGCCGGTATTACTGCAATACCAGCACGGCCAGGCAGCCTAAAATATTGGTAAAATACCAGTCAGGTGGCAAACCTGAGTAATGTTTGTAAAAAAAAAAAAAGTTATTTTTTTTTTTTTAAATGGGCCTATTCCATGGGCCTAGGTCTGGAGCTGCAGCTCCATCAGCCCCTATGTTAATCCGGTCCTGGTGCCAGGTCCAGCTAGGGTTAACCCATTTTTTTTATTTTTTTTTTATAATTCTTTATTTTTGGTGCATGTTAGCATGTATCATACATACATTTTGCGTTCAAGTCTTGATACATAAGTTTTACTATCTAGTCTGGAACAGGTGTACATATCACATATGAAGACATTGGCTGGGTATCATGTTGCACATTTTTAATAGTGTGGTAGTCTGTTGGTTGTAACGAGTTAGTCAGTGTATGGGTTGTTAAACTCCCGCTATGTGTGACGTCTCGTAGTATATATGCCAGTGAGGTTTGCGAGTTTGTTTCTCTTGGGTGCTTATGGGTCTGAGGCGCATTGGTTCCTATGTGTTGTCAGCCCTATGTGATAGTTGCTCTTGGCCCTAGATTTAGTGTGTGGCCCTCTTCCTTGTGTGGTCCCTTGTCCCCTTGTCGTGTCTCTCTGGCATGTTGGGTGTGATAGGGAGGGGGGGGGAGAAAGTCCCTGGGCGTGCTGTGGGCGCTGTGTGTGCCCTTGAATCTCTGTGCGCAGCTAAGAAATTGTGTGTTGATTTGCATAAACAGAAACAGAACAACAAAAAAATAAAATAAATAAAAGTCATTGCATAGCTAGGAAAGTCTCTCGAATGTCCCTATAACTTAAGGTACTCAGGTGTGTTGATTAATTCAAGTCTTTGGCCTCCTGTCTCTTCTAATGTCGGATGAGGACGTATCTGAGTCAGTGTCCAGTAGAGGTTGTGTGTCCGGTGATGCGTGTTCGAGGCCCCGTTGTGGTTGTAAGTCCAGTGCTGCCAGTATTGCGGGAATGTCTGCTGGGTCCGTAGCTTTGTAGAACTTTCCTTCTTTAGTGATCCATAGGTTGTGCGGTGTCGCCCATCTGTAGGTCAGGCCCGCTTTCTGCAAGATCTGCGTGAGGGGCTGCATGGTTTTCCGCCACTGTAGCGTAGCCCTGCTTAGGTCTTGGAAGAACGAGATTTTACAGTTCTCAAATTCGTATGGCGTCTTCCCTTTTATCGCTGCTAGCAGGCTTAATTTGTTGGACATTGTTTGACACCTGAGAATAATGTCTCGTGGTGCAGTTGCAGGGGCTCTTGGGGATTTGGATATTCGGTATGCCCCATCAAAGGAGAGGTATTTAGCCTCTCTTGTTGATAGTAGTGCCGACACTAGCCTTCTAATGAAGTGCGGTAATTCTTCTAGGGGTATAGTTTCTGATACTCCCCTCACCTTTATGTTCTTTCTTCTGCCCCTGTCATCCAGGATGAGCACCTGCTTGTTTGTTTCAGCTTGTGTAGTCTGGATACCTTGTACTTTATCGCTCAGTTCTTTGAGGCCTTGTTGCAGGTCTGTCACATTCCTTTCAGTTGTCTGTGTGCGCCTTTTCACGGCCTGTACTTCGGTCGTGAGAGCTGCCAGGTCCGCCTCCCATATTGCCCTAAGGTTATTTTGGAGACCGGTGAGCATTTCTCTAAGCTCCCGTTTTGTAGGCGGAGCTTCTGTCTCCTTTGGGCTGGGTGGTTCTCTTTGTATCGGCTTCAGGCTTTGATGCGCGGTCTCGTCGCTGTCTCGTGCGAATGAAGGCTCCCGGGTAAGTGAGGCCTCCTGCGCCGGTGAAATTGTCGCTGGCGCCGTGTATTGCAGCATTTGACTTATGTTTTGTTGTGTCTTGGGCATGGGAGCAGGCGGTTTCGGGGTTTTCCTCCCCATATTACCTGTTAGCCAAGGTAGAAGGTCGGCGTCGTCCCAGTCTAGTGGGCCTCCGTATGCTGCCGGAGAGTGTTTGATGGCGCGGTAGGCCTTGGTGCCGCGGGTCTGGTATTTCTTGCCCGGGGTGTGTAAAAAAGGCATCGGCAGATTCAGGGCGGTTAGCTCCATCGAACTCTGCCCTCTGTGCAGGCGGTTTGGCTCGGATGCAGGTGATATTTTAGAGATTAGGCTGATCAGCGCTCGGAGCTATGAAAATGGCGTCTATTCAGTTGCGCTGCCAGGCTCCGCCCCCTGGGTTAACCCATTTTTTTATAAACATAGCAGTTTCAGAGAAGAGCTCCCCGCCCAGCGCTGGAAAAAGGTAAGTTTTAACCACTTTCCTCTCCCCAGAGCCGGGCGGGAGGGGGTCCCTGAGGGTGGGGGCCAGGAAAACGAGTATGTTTTCCTGGCACTATAGTGGTCCTTTAACCAATTCAGGATCAAGAATTTGGCAAGCCTTATGCTATTATGACAGGTCACACACTTTGACTGCTATAAAGGGGTTAATCCTACCTGCAACTCTTCCCTTCAAATAAATATTTACTGGGACTTTCCCATACGATATGGTTGCTTATCAACATTTTTTATGAGACACCTATGGCAAGAGGAGTGTTTTAACCCTTGGCTGTACTTTCCATATACAAAAAGCAAACAAAAACAGGGACATTGAAAAAGACAGATCATGCTCAAAACCAATAATTAGATTGTGTACAGAGGTCACAGCACGCCATGCAAGCAAGCCACACTTACTTAAACAAGCTTACAGAGATACATAATAACACAGGTGGATTCTTAAAATCAATTTTTAACCTCTTCTTGGGAGAGTCCCAGTACGGCAGGAGATATAATGTACCATGCAAGTAACCTAGTTTAATGGACTGATCTATTGTAATAGCAAAATAAATGAGGCCATGGCCTTACTTAAGATTGACTTAATTTATGATAGCATGATAAGTATGTTAACACCTTAAAGGACCACTCTAGGCACCCAGACCACTTCAGCTTAATGAAGTGGTCTGGGTGCCAGGTCCCTCTAGGATTAACCCCTTTTTTTTATAAACATAGCAGTTTCAGAGAAACTGCTATGTTTATAAATGGGTTAATCCAGCCTCCAAATCCTCTAGTGGCTGTCTCATTGACAGCCGCTAGAGGCGTTTGCGTGATTCTCACTGTGAAAATCACAGTGAGAAGACGCAAGCGTCCATAGGAAAGCATTGTAAATGCTTTCCTATGAGACCGTCTTAATGCGCGCGCAGCTCCTGCCGCGCGTGCGCATTCAGCCGAAGGGGAGGATCGGAGGCGGAGAGCTCCCCGCCCGGCGCTGGAAAAAAGGTAAGTTTTAACCCTTTCCTCTCCCCAGAGCCGGGTGGGAGGGGGACCCTGAGGGTGGGGGCACCCTCAGGGCACTATAGAGTATGTTTTCCTGGCACTATACTGGTCCTTTAACAATCAAATGTTGCGCTTTGCGGCCGTCCATCGTAATCCAGAATTCATACCAGAGGGGAAAGTACGGTTTATTTTGTTTTGGCTAATTTATGTAGTCCACCAGCCACTAATCGAGCGTGCCAATACTTGTTAGATTGACAGCCGTAAAGAATAGCTTATGATATCTTAGACTGTCATTGGACTTAACGGGGTTAAAGTAGCATTATAGCTAGTTTTATATGGTCCGCGCAGATCTCTGTACACATTGAAATGACTGGTCATTCAGTGGACCGCTTGCAAATTCAGGTGAGCGGTTCTCACATATGGTTTTATCTACTCGACGTTGGATACACTTTGGCTTGTATAACATACAGCACAGACAGAGTTAATAATTCTCTAATAATAACACAGTATTCTCTTATAGCAAAAAACATGTCTCAGGACTCACCTGGGAAGAAGACAAATGATAATATTAGTATTACACACCGAATGGCCATGATCCAAAGCTTTTTTGCTCTCCCTTTCAAGGTATCATTACGATATGACAGATTACATATTACATAGAATGACTTCCTTATATGTTATAGATCAGGAAGCTACATGTTACAGGAAAACAGTGTGTGAGAGGCGGAGCCAATGAAAACAACCCGTCGCTTGGATTGTAGTGTATGAATAATGATTACAAAAGGGGAAGTGACAATGTGCAAACATTTCATGGGGAATTCTCAGAAGTTGTGGACTTTTAGAGTCCATTCGAAAAATGTCAGTAGCCTGTCTGATTTCTGTTCTTGGGAATTTATGAAGTTCTTGTTAGAAAGAAACAGAACTATTTTTAAACACACTTGGTAAATAAGTAACATATTCATATAAATTTAAGGTGTGCACACTTACCGATGCTCCAGTGAAATATCAGAAAAATGCATCTATACATTGTGCGCAGAAGTTATAGTAAATGTATAGATTTGAAAAGAAACCTATAAAACGATGTTTCTAACATCACTTGTCAATCATTTCTAGGCATCAATTTCAGTGACACCTGCGTGACGTGAGAGCAGGAGAACCTTTGTACAGGTGCTGCGCTCGCTTTTCTGTCACAGCAACCAGAGTCGGCCTTTGGGGTGTGTGAGCTGTGAGACCAAACAAGGTGTTGTGACTGCTGTACCAGAGATAATGACTTTCAAGGGGTGCTTTCATTATTTTAGTGGTATCAATCTATCTAAAAACACTTCCTTTTTGTAATTTTTGTTTTTAAAAAATACTTAGTAAATAAAGGAGATTAAAATCTTCCTCCTGCCCCTACCCGCTGTGCCGCGAGTAGGGGCATGTGTACTAAATAGCGACTTGCGATTGGTAGGCATTTGGGGGTTATGACGATAAAAAGAGGGTCAACTAGTGTCCTCCCACCCCCACCCATTGGCTGCAATGGGTGGGGACTTGGGTTACAATAGTTTCACCCACTTATTGCTTACTGCCCATACCTGCTGCCAATGGGTGCGGGCTTGGAGGACACTATATCTTCCGTTTATTTTAATAGTCACCACCCGGACACTATGCCACCCCATTTATTTTAATAGTCACCACCCAGACACTATGCCACCCCATTTATTTTAATAGACCACCACTCGCAGGTCATGGGCAGTGGCGGCTCTAGACTTTGTGAGGCCTTAGGGGAAACTCAAACATGAAGCCCCCACTAACACCCAAAGTGAAAATAAATAGGGGTCCATTGTGTGTGTAAGGTGCTGTATTTATATTAAAGGATGGGCTTGCAGCCCTGGATACAGAGAGATAGTCTCTGTACTCATTGTTCAGAGGCTTGAAGTGTTGCAGATACCTGTTCCGTTGCGTTGTGAGCTCTCTGATGGAAGTTATGGCATAATTTACTAACAAAATAATTTGTAATAAATTTAATTAGCAATTATGCTAATCGTTTATACACGATTGCGGGGGATGTTTTTTTAAAACATTTTTAACAAGTTTTTATTGGTATTTTTCATTTGATAGGGGGTACAGAAGAGAAAGGGTAGGGTGTGGCACCAGCCTTAAGCATCAGACCTTCTGCAATGTCAGTTATGACGTTCTGTGGTTGGGTACAATCTTAAATGATTATGACTGTGTACAGGTTTGGGCCTCTGTTGGACCTTCGTTGCGGTCAGACCTTGCACAACGTTGTGGGTGTTCCTAATAGTGGTGCGAGGTCTAGGTGGCTCTATCGAGGCGACTGCTTTGCAGAGTGCTGGTCATCCGTTGGTTAGGTGCCCGTTGTTGGTGCCATGGAGTTATGTATATACAGAAACTGGGTGGGGTATGAAGGGGATTGGTGTTCTGGCCATTTGTGGTTCAGGATTGGAGGAGGTTAATGTGCCAGGGAGTGTGGCATAGTTGTGAATACAGAGAGCTAGTCTCTGTATTCATTGTTCAGAGGCTTGCAGTGTCACTAATACCTGTACCGCTGCGTTGTGAGCTCTCTGCACTGGCGGAACTATCGCGGTCGCAGGGGTCGCAACTGCGACCGGGCCCTTCACTCCAGGGGTCCGGCCGCCCTTGTGCCCTGCTGATACATATTCTCATATTCCTGCAGCCAGAGGGCGCTTACAGCAGGTGAAATCAGACTAGGAAGGCTTCCAGTGCAGGTGGAGGGCCCTGGGCTGGCAATAACCAATCACCCCACATCTAAGTGACTTAATTCAGGTAAGTCTCCCCCCCACCCTGGGCAGAGGGGCAGGGAATGAGGACAAGGCACACTTCAAACTGTGGGAACGAGTTTGCCATGTTTACTAAAGCAGAGTAGGCACCTGCTCGCCCCACATTGCAGCTGCCTACTTTGCCAAAATTACCCGGCCAGGGAGGAGAGGTATCTGGTGGCAGTGAGGGAGCTCAGTCTTCCTGCTCCTCACTGCTCCCTCGCGCGCGACCGCGCCCTCTGTAGTGATGCCAGGTGCCGGAATATGACGTAATTCCGGCACCTGGCATCACTAAACTACGCTCGTGAGGGAGGTTTTCAAGGAGTAGCAGGATGATCTGTTTGACACAGGATGCGGACGGGGGACTGGAATTTAGTACAGGGGAACGACTGTGAATTAGTACAGAGGGGGGACTGGACTGTGAATTAGTATAGAGGGGGGACTGGACTGTCAATTAGTACAGAGGTGGGGACTGTAAATTAGTACAGAGGGGGAACTGGAATTTAGTATAGACGGGGGACTGGGATTTAGTACAGAGAGGGGGACTGGAATTTAGTACAGAGGGGGTGACTGGGATTTATTACAGAGGGGGGGGCTGTGATTTAGTATATGGGGAGGTCTGGGATTTAGTAGAGGGGGTGCTTGGATTTAGTAGAGGAGGATGCTGTTTTTTTATACTGAACTTTTCAAAACAAAACCTAAGTTTGTCTATGAAAATGTAAGGTTTTGGGTATTTTTGCGGCCCACATAAACTTAAAGGACCACTATAGGCACCCAGACCACTTCAGCTTAATGAAGTGGTCTGGGTGCCTGGTCCAGCTAGGGTTAACCCTTTTTTTTTATAAACATAGCAGTTTCAGAGAAACTGCTATGTTTATAATAGGGTTAATCCAGTCTCTAGTGGCTGTCTCATTGACAGCCGCTAGAGGCGCTTGCGTGCTTCTCACTGTGAAAATTGTAAATGCTTTCCTATGAGACTGGCTGAATGTGCGTGCAGCTCTTGCCGCGCATGCGCATTCCGCCGAAGAGGAGGAGGAGAGCTCTAAAAAAGGGGGCACCCTCAGGGCACTATAGTGCCAGGAAAACGAGTATGTTTTCCTGGCACTATAGTGGTCCTTTAAACCTTGTTTATGTGGCCCGTGCTAGCCTTTGAGTTTGACATGCTTGATCTACTGTTTCTGCCTCTTGCTAGGGTTTGGGGGAAACCCTGCGATTCTTCCGCATTGTGTCACAGGCTAGGGTTTCAAAGCAATATAAATTTTTAAATAATTCTATACTGGTATACTAATTGTCAACCCATAGCCTGTATCCCTTATTTAACAAGGGAAGGATTAGGTCCCAAACAATCTTGCCACTTGTACCCACAGAATTAGGGCATCTTGGTGGGTCAAGATGGCTATCCTTCCCCTGGTAAATGCGAAACGCCCATGTATAACCAGTACAGGATTCTACTAATTTAGATAATTTAACGCCATATCGGAACTGCTTAGATGGTAAATATTGGTTAAAGAGCAGTCGACCTTTGAGTTTCATTAGGGATTTGTCAATTGAAATTTTTTTTTCATGGACATAATTTTCAGAAAATTTGTCTGACAGGAGTTGGATAAAAGGCCGTATTTTATAGAGCCTGTCCAACAGTGGGGTCATTTCTAGGGGGGGACAGTAAGTTATCAGTAAAATGAAGAAATTGCAGCAGTTGCAGGTAGCAATCCCTCTGCATAACCTCAGGGAAAAGAGAGGTAGCCAGGATGCGTTGCTTGCTCCAGTAGGACCTGATACTGGGCTTTTTAACTATGCAGATCACTAGAGTTAAAGCCCCAAACGGCTTCACCTCTGCAACATCCGTGGGTCTCCACATATTCCTGCTGCTATAATGATGTGCAGAGAGATCCTGCATGGCAAACCATGAGCTCAAATACGTCGTCCGACATAAAGAGCTAAAAAACAACGAATTGGCTTGCAGTTGTACACGGTTACAGTCAGGCCCGGACTGGCCATCGGGCACACCGGGCAAATGCCCGGTGGGCCGCGGTGGCCATGGGCCGAGGCCGGCAGGGGAGGTCACAGGACATCCCCTGCCGGTCTATGCAGGGCTGGCACTATCCGAGCGCCGGCCCCGCTGTTTGCCACGGAGGGCTGGTGGGGAGATCAAAGCTCTCCCTCACCGGCCCATTTAAATAGACCTGCGGCTGGGGAGGGAGGGAGAGGACCCGGCGGAGCTCTATCTTGTAGCCATGGCAACGTGCCGATCTCGCGAGAGTGAACTCTAGCCCTCAGGCTAGAGTTCACTCACCACTGGACCACCAGGGATGATGTCATCGTGCCGATCCCCCTCCTCCCAGCTACCACGTGCCTGTCCCCCCCTCCCAGGCTAAAGGTAAGAGGGAGGGGGGATTTAATTCCTACTTAGTTTTTTTTTAAAATTTCTTTATTTACCCCCCCACCCACCTTAGTTTTTTATTTGTTTATTTACCCCCAACACACATTTATACACAGCACTCTCACACTCATCACACTCTGCACTCTCACACACATCATACACAGCACTCTCACACTCATCACACTCAGCACTCTCACACTCATCACACTCAGCACTCTCACACACATCATACACAGCACTCTCACACTCAGCACTCTCACACACAGCACTCACTCTCACATACAGCACTCTCACACACATCATACACAGCACTCTCACACTCATCGCACTCTCACACACATCATACACAGCACTCTCACACACATCACACTCTGCACTCTCACACACATCATACACAGCACTCTCACACACATCATACACAGCCCTCTCACACACATACACAGCACTCTCACACTCAGCACTCTCACACACATCATACACATCACTCTCACACACATCATACACAGCACTCTCACACTCTGCACTCTCACACACATCACACTCTGCACTCTCACACACATC